TTTGAGTTATGATGCTGTTATTTCGCTTTTTCTTTCGTGGTGATTCAATCCCAAGGCCGAGTAAAAATCGGCGAAAAAATACAATGTATGACCATTTTCCGCAAATTTTCGTTTTTGCCTGCATTGTTCTGACTTTTTTTTATTATAACGCTGCCTTTCTTGCTGTTGTGGAGAACAAGTTCTCCTTCTTAACGAAATTGAAAGAAAAGGTGTGAGAATTTGTTTGGGCTACAAATGAGGTGCTTGAGAAGACCCTATTCTAAAGTTAATACATTTCCACAAGTACAGTATTTCAGTTTGCGATTTGCCAAGTACTTGTAGAACCACACAGTACTGATGTTTAAGGAATAGTGATGTTTTTGCTTGGAATTTTTTGGAAGGAAGTAGATTTTTAAGGACATGCACTGAGATGTGGAACGAAGATTTCAACATCTATTTCAGCTACTGTTTTAGGTTTCTAAAGATTCAGGATTTTTTTTTAAGGACCAATGGTAATTCTCTATTCCTTGTGAGAGTTGGGGTGAAACCCTATGGTACCCAACCAAAAGCCCTCCTAGGTCAAAAGCCCCCCCCCCCCCGCATCACTTTTTAAAAGTTGGATGCAAGTTTCATAATAGTGTTTGGTGGCCCTGAGAAGGGTTATTTGGTTTCATTAGTCCTCAAAAGGACTGTTTAATAATCATCTTCAACGTTGCCTTCTGCTGCCTCTTCCTCACTGTCACTGATGCTCTCCATGTCATTTTCTTCTAAATAGCCATTGTAGTATTCAATTTGACCACCCTTCTGATTTTTGATGATCTGAAGTGCACCAGCCATTGGACCAACAAGGTGAACTGTAGATTTTGCAGAAGTCAGCAAGTGATGATGCTTTGACATTCAAAGAATCACTGATGACCACTGCAGGTGAAGAATTCCTTTATGTACTCAACTTACCAACATATCGGTACTTGGCCTTGTGCTGGGCCTGCTGGTGAAAGGTGCAGCTTACCATCAAGAGTTACAAGAATACCTGGTGAAAGGTTCAGCTTACCATCAAGAATACCTGTAATCCCAAATTTTTGCACAAAGGGGGGCTTTTGGACTACCCCCAAACCCGATTCTCACAGAAGCATCCCAGGATGGGTTTTGGCAATTGCCACTGAGAGGTTTCGGCAATTGCCAAAACTCGTCTCCTTTATGGCGAGGCTTTAGAGCCAACAATTGCCATTTTCTCTTTGAGAGATTAAATTTACTGGGAAGACCGGCATGAAAAAATTACTCTGTTCCGTGAAAATTCTGCCTAAATTCGCAACACTTGCTCTGTGTTTCTTTTTTATTTTAATTTTTTTCCACGTTTTGTCAAAATTCGTGGATTTTATTTAAAACACTGACGTTAGAATTTTTCAAAGTTAGCGCATTTGCCGTTGCTTGTAGAAATTTCAGCCGCTATTTTCAGTACTGGCATTAGTGCTTGAGAACCTCTTATTTTCTTCATTGTTGGTTTAATTTGTGCTGGACCTCGTATATTTATGCGTACAGCAGTCTTTAAAAAAAAACTGAGACGGATTTGCAGGGAAACCAAGTGCCAACTTTTTCCACCTTCGAAGTATGATTTCCCTCGCGAAATATTTCTACGATTGGATTATGGTTGGAATTTCGAACTTCTTGTTGATTCAAAGCGTCGCTTTTGCCAACTGCAGTGAGTTGACTTATTCCCGATTTTTTTTTCCTTCTGAACTTCTTGGAAAATGTGAGAGGGGCTTTTCTTTATTTTTGGACTGAATGAATCCCCAATGTCGATATAACGGGAAACTTCCCGCAGTGAAGGGCTGCACAACAAAGTGTACAATACTGCACAGTACAGTACAGTACCGTATTTTGGAATGTGGGGGGGGGGGGGAAATGACGACCTTGTGAAGGATTTGAACTAAGCGAGAAAAATAATAATGTCTGTCAATTTGTTCTGGCTGAAATTCCTCTTCTCTGAGTCTGGCCTTTTTGTAAGAATATACAAGTAAGGGGTTGTCCCAGTTCCGCGCGAGGTTATGTATTTCCAACGTCGTTAAAAATGGAATACAAATTCATGATTTTGACTGTGATGTTCTGAGCGTCAAAAAAATTTTTTTTTCAAGATTTTGAAGACACATTTTCAAGAATTGCGTGATGAGAAGTGAAAATTTTGCTGGTTTTTTTTTTCAGAGGTGTTTTCGAAATTTCACAGTACAGTACTGTAAGCTAAAAATTCGTTTGTTCTTGTGAAGAATATCGTATTTTTCACATCTGTTTGGTATTTAAAAAATTGATCAGTTTTCTTTTAATGAATGAACAGGCCAAAACATTTTGGTGGTTTGCGATGACATGTGTACTAATGATTTACAATTTTTCTGACAATCCTTCACAAACGAGATTTTCTTTGCCTATTTTCGTGACCTAAAATTCCACTTCAATCAGTATTTCGTTATTGGATGAATAATGACTAATAGACAATAATTGAGTGCTCTTTCGATGTTGAAGTTTTTTGTTGCATTCATCGATAAATTACGAAATCTTTCCAGCAAAAAAATATGTCCAATTTATGAAAAATGTTGCTCCGTATTTCTCATGTTATCGTTCGCGTCGTTTGAAGCAATAGGATAGGAGAAAAATGTTTTGAAAATCGTCGTCACTTGTTTTCATCCTGCGGTTGGATATTTTCCTGATTTTTCCAAGCCGTGACAAGTGTCGGAAGCTTTTTTCTTCTGGCATCGACACACGTGGCGTCCACGTGGGTCTTTCAAAAAATTCAATTGTTCTAGAATAATTTTCCGAGGGAAGAAAATATTCGACTTATTGAGCATTTTTTTTTCTCGAATGTCTTTGCTGCACAGGTAAACGCTGTTCTAAATGTTATTTCTCTTTGAAAATGAGAAACTTGAAAATGGATTTTGAATTTTTGTTGAAAAGAGGCGGAAGGACGCTGCAAAATATATTCTTGTTGCAAGAAATGTACTTTGAATATATATTTGAGAGGATCGAATTATAATATCGTTTCTTATGAGAAGTTAAATTTAATATGAATACTTTCAGTCGTTGTGGTTTTTTTTTGTTTGAAAGTTGAAGAATGCAAATTTCCATGACCTGAAGTTTTGCACATTTCAAATGAAAAGAAATTTATACTTCACGTAACCGATGATTTTATTCATGAATGTAGCTGACGCCTTTCATTTTTTAGAGTGGAATTTTCGAAATTTGCATTTAAAAAATGTAAAATGGATACTTCATTAGGCTGATGTTTCTGTATTTTTGAAAAATGTATTTCTTGTGTCGTATGGATGCATTTTTTCCTCATTTTAGATGAATGAAAAGCGGTTATTTAAAGTACAGTTCCTGAAGTGTTTTTTTTTCTCTTTTAGACCAGGGTTTTCCGATGAGAAGTGATGCAATGCTGTAATTTGATTTTTCGTCACGATTTAATAGTGATTTTTCTCGTGACAAGAAAATTTTGCAATGTCCCTCGGTTTTTTTTTTTTCCTCCCTCAAATCCTCGGCCTCGTCGGTGTCGCTTATTCTTGGATGAACACTCGCAAACCGAAGCGAGGAATGCGAAAGGAATGTGCACGAGGGGAGAAAAGTGATTTTTTTTCTCTCCTCTTTGTGCCGAAAAGAACGCAAAAAATGTGTGTGTGTGAGTGTCTCTCTCTTACTGAAGAATCCGCGTCGAGGAAATCCGAAAGAGAGACTCGTTCAAGACCGGATTGATGTTCGAGTGAGATGAAGAAGACATCAATCTTTCCTTTGAGGGAAAGCGTCTTTAATCTTATATCGAGTGGTTTGTGTTGTTTTTTTTTTTTTTTTTTTTGCGAACCATATTTTTTTTACGATTTTTACTTCAAATGGCAACAGTAATTAACCAAGATTCCTTGAAATGTTCGCACATTTTCGCATGAAACGGATTTTTATTTTGCTGTTTTCAGTCGCGATAATCAAGTTTATTGCTCGCTTCCGTATTCGCTAGTCATTTTTTTCTCTCTGCTAAATTTTTCATTTTTATCCTGAAAATGTTCCGTCTTCGAGCGACTTTTCTTCATTCAGAGAAGAACCTTCCATTGCTTACGAAAAAAAAATTAGGAGCTAAAAATTGAGAAGAGAGTTTTTTTCTCATTCGCTGGTTCCACGAATTGAGCTGTAAAAAAACGAACGACGCAGTTTTTTTCGATTATTGAGCAGAATTTTGTACTTTTTGGAAATGATTAAATATGAACGATTTAATTGTTATTCGTCGCCATCATTTCTTCTTTGATGACAAATTATTTATATTCCCTATGTTTCCGGCTGTCGAAATTTTCTTGAAATTTCACTGCGTTCGAAGAAAACAATTATATGAAACTGTAGATGCGTTCACGAGTGAGTTACTAAGGTTCGGTTATTTCACTTAGGTAGTTGCAAATGAGTAAGCTGAAAGTTGATTTGTTTTGGTATACTGTGAATCCAGCCTGCATTGCAAGGCATCATCTCCCAACTTGAGTTGATCTCAGATTGCAACAGGCTTTGGGTTGTTATTTATTAATGTACTGTTTTTTTTTACAATATTTTGTTGTAAAATTTGAACTCTTGGATATCTTTGCGTCATCTTCGCAGGAACGCCAGCTTAAGCGACTGCGAAGTTGTCCTAATGTTGCATAGGTGTCGCTTGAACAGGGTCATGTGTAACCCAAATTGTAATTTGCGTTGGATCCAGACCAGAATTCTCCGTTCAATTTTAAAAATCTAAAAACTTATTCAGTACAAAAAATTTTCTCCAGTCCTGAAAAGTTTGTTATAACGAGATTTCACTGAAATCAAACATTGCAATTTTTAAATTCTCGTTACAAGGAAGGAGACGTCCGATGAGAATTGACCGGTCTTTTTGAAATGCAAAAATTTTAAATTTTGAAAATCTCACAGCTCATTTAGTACAATTTTTTTCTTAAGTCCTCAAAAATTTATTGTATCGAGATTCCACTGAAATCAAATTACGAAATTTTTTGCAATTATCGTTACAGGGCAAGAGACGTCCGATGAGAATAGACCGGTCCATGATCGGGTTGCCGACCAACTTCCAGCACACGGGCCACGTCGGGTGCAACGACCTGGGCGCCAACACGGGCCACATGGCGGCACTGCACACGCAGCTGCAGTCCAAGGGCGGCTACAACATGGCCCTGCCCATCACCAACGGCACCGCCAAGCTCCTCGACACCCGGCCGTTGATCCCAATTGCCACGTCTAACAATCACCACCACCACCACCATCAACACCACCAAAACAATCATCATCACCACCACAACCAACTTCACCCTCATCTCCTGCAGCACCACGACGAGTACCACCAAAATCATCATCATCATCATCACCACCACCATCTTTCCGGCGGCGACGTCGTCATCCGTCCGACGTCGACGACGACGACGCCTGCGACTGCACCGGCGCCGCCTATTGTAGTCGGTGGTGCCGGCGGCGGCGGCGGCGGCGGTGGTGGAGGAGGTGGCGCCACTGCATTGGGACTCGGACGATCGCGGAATTGATTGATTGATTGTATTTTGGGATACGATGCGTCGGTGTGGTGCCTGATGCTGCTGCTGCTGTTGGGGCTTTTTTTTGTTTGTTTGTTTGTTGGTGATGTGTACGCAGGTTTTTTTTTTTTTTGTTCGATGGAGACGAAATGGTCATTGATTTTATGTGGGGTTTTTTATCATTATTTTGATTTGTGCGCTTGTTTTATTGAATTCAAATGATTCGAAGCTTGTGTGTGATTGAGCAGTTCGTATAGTGTGCATCGCCTGCATCAATTCTGACACGTTCATCCCGTTTAAGACTGAAAAAAAGAATTCCACTTTTTTATTATTCCTCTTTCCTTCTAATTGGAAGTTCGTTTGAAAAAAGAAAAAAATGTAAAATCCTTAATAATTGAGGCATTTTTGAAGGCACAATACCTCTTGAATGGTTTTTCTTTTTTTCGAAAAGCGACAAATATAATAAATACTGTATCTCAAGTGACTTCTTGTTCGAAGACTGGTCATTAAAACTGAGACTGTGTTGCTCGTTGTACAGTAATAAGTTTAAAAAATGATTATATTCTTTGTAAGATTTTTAAGTCAAACCTTCAGTAGTGAGTCATGATTCAACGAACTTTAATTTCTCAATATTTTGGACTGCTAATTATTTTCTAGTTTTCTCCAACCGGGAGTTCATTTGAAGAATAAGCGACAAAATCCGGAGTAATTGAGGTATTTTTAAGGCACAGGGCCTCGTACATGGATTTTTCCGAATCACAGGTTATAATGAATTTTGCATTTCACGGGACTTCTTGTCCGGAGACTGTTCGCAAAAAATTGTGACTTTGTTGATCGTTGCAAAAATTTTATAGGGGATGGCATTCATTGTAAGATTTTATTCTTATATCCTCACTAGGTCATGCTTTCATAAATTTAATTAAATTTTTGTAATATTTTAGGAGTACAGTAGTATCAACAATGGTAGGCAATTTTTCCACGCACATATTCATGATGCGTTTTTAAGAGAGTGTGGGGAAACGATGAAAAAAGAATGCAGCTCATTTCGGAACGATACTGAATTTATCAATTTTGATGTACAGTACTTTAATTTACGTCTGGAAGGGGTTTGTGAATTATCGTGCAAGAGCAGGAAGTGGATTTATTTTCAGCTATAATGAACCAGTACTGAATATCTACGCGGAATGATTTCTTATGCTCAAATTTTTCAGTCTCTCGTGACGTTTTGTTGTTTTAAATCGCAGTCTCCGGAAATTATCTAGTGAATGTTATTTTATTAAAATCAGGGAGTGTTATAAATTATGATGGTTACAAGTTGAAAAGTGTTCAACAGAAATTTCGCAAGCTTTGTTTGTCTCGAATGTTTTTAAAGTTCCTTTCTGCTTCCAAAGATTGGGCTCGAGAACTAAATGTTCCCTGGACGACGTGTGCAATTATTTGACAAAGATTTTCATTTTTAGCAATTTTACTTGGAGTCTTTTTTTATATTTTCCTGAATGAATTGAACGTGTCGGGTGTTGAAGCGGTGTCTTGCTTTAGCGGTTTGATTTTCCCTTCATCAACAAGAATATTCGTCATAGAACAACTCATTTATGCTTTTTGTGCACCGCTGGAAAAAATCCATCAGTTTAGTCACCTGACCATTTGTTTGAAACCCGACAAAAAAAAACAATTGTAGGAATCTGATGAAAGCCATTTTATGAAAGTTACGCACTGGCTGGTACAAACATTTTGCCGGATGAACGGAAACTCAATCGCTTTGGTTTATTTGCTGCTGGAGAATGTGATAAGACGAATTGCTATCTTGAGAGAATTTGATTTGGGATTTTTGTTTTTTCGAAAGAACAGATTAAAAAAACAAGGGTCACCCGTGAAGTCATTGTTGAAATCCGACTTTTGAGATACCAAAAATAAAAGGGGGGACGATGATTTGCGCAATTTTTTTTTGCGTTTTCAGAAAAGAAAGGAAAAGAGGCATCAGAAAGACGATTTTTTGTGGTTTTCATCTTTTTTTTTTTTTTGGTTTCGCATTGAGTCGCTTCGACGAGGGAACAAATGAGTCAAGTCCACGGTTTTGTGCAACAGTCATTGGATGAGTCCTTTTCTGATTTTTGCGGCGAGTTTGTGAAGATCCTGTGGACTTGTGTGCTTTTTTTTTTGTTTTTTTTGATTGGTTCTCGCTTATTTTTCCTCGACGAGTGTGGCTATTCTGTGTCGGTGGAAACGTGGAGAATGGAGAGGATCAGCTTTTATGAGCAAATTGCGTTCAACATTTCGCTTCATCTTTAAAATGTTTGTCGTGATTTCCACGGAAATTACGGAACTGCTGACGCAAGGACTTCGCGCAAAATTCAGTAACGATTTTTTAGTAAAATTTTGGAACATTTCACAAGTGAGTCATGTTGGGTAAGTTTTTTTATGGTCAAATTCCCCTCACCTTTGAAAAATTCTAGAAAACTGTTGTCAATGATCCTCCAATTCAAATAAAACGAAAATAGAACACTCCAATTCGATTTTCGAATAAGCTTGAATTTTGATTTTTACCCAACGTCGTTTTCTTTTAGATTTGAATCCTGGTGAATGAGAAGAGTGATTAATAATTTTCAATAATTATAATAACTTTCAAAGAAGACTACTCCGCGGGACTATATACTGAACCTAGAGTGCTTGACAATTAAAATAATGGAACAGAATACTGTATAGTATACTGTAGAAAAGTATCCTTCCATTAGGAATAACGCGGCCGGTATTTGCTACTTCGCGCGACACCTGGTCGATCGCCGCTAAGCTGTGCTTGCCCTCCAGTTTCATAGGTGTCGTGGACTGTCGCATGAGAACAACTGTAAACGCGGAGATCCGCTAAGCTACATGTATGCGCCTCGTGCGTTTAAAAAGGAGAAAAAAGGCGCGAGAAAATGCAAAGTTTATCCCGGTACTTTATGAAACTGTATCTTCTGACGTTAAGTGGCGTTAAAACCTGCTGGCAGTAGCCAGGAATGCGGTTATACCAGGGAACCCTGCTCCCAGCAGGTTGGTTCACTGAACCCTCATCACCTGAAACGAAAAACAATAATACGCTCCTTAGTAAAAAAATAAAACAAAACAAAAAATACAGTATGTATAAATCGCAGAGCCAGCCCTTTTACGGGTCTCTCCGTCGAGACGGAGTTATTATTCAAAACCACGCCTTTTATGATGTGGATCACATGCAGTATATTTAAAAAATAATAAAAGTAGGAAAATAAATGTTCTCCTTTGGGATTATAATAGCTGCTGCTTTGATGCCTGTTGTTGTCGCGAGTCTCTCGGGCTCAGTGCCTCGCGGACCGCCGCATCGAAACAACCCCGGAAAAAGTGACTCCACTCGACGAGATTTTTTCCATGTGCTCAAAAAGCTCGTAAAAAAACATTTTGCTGCATTTTTCCAGGGAAATGGAGACCGTCCATAACAGTGTATGAGAGTTCGCAATCGTATTTTCCGAATTGGTCTCACTAGTCGCAAGCGAACAAATTTTGAATCACTTATTGAACGATCCGAGGCCTGAGGAATTATTTTTACGTGGCACTTGAAAAAAATCAATAATAATATAACAATAGTATTAATAATAAATAAAAATCTGGGGGATATTTAATCAATGTACTTTAAATTGGAGTAAGAATTGGAAAAAACGAAAATTCGGCAGCATATCACTAAAAGCGAATTAAGGAATTCTGCCAGAAAGTAATTGAGTTTTTAACGACATTTTAAATTAAAGCATAGACACGGACTTTTATAATAGTTTCGAAGATCTCTGCTCTAGGTCGGACGTACAACCGTTTTTGAACGACGTTTAGAGTCCGAGATTTTACCTTGAAGCATGCAAATGATTTCATCCCTGATGTATAAAAACTTGACTTTGAGAAAAAGGGAAATTTCTTCAACAGCCGAATAAATTTGTCTTTTCTCACTAACGTCACGAAAGATTCCGGAAAAAAACAACGTTTCCATTCCAAATAATTCAACCTACATTCCAGCATTCCTACTTGCTACATTTCCAAGTAGTTTTTGAATTTAAACCTGAGACTTGTTCTCAAAACTAGCCCCCGTTTTAAAAATATAAAAATAGGATCAGTCTCAATTTTTTGGAAGCAGCAGAAAATTTATAAATAGACTTCGTGACCATAAAATACAGATCATATGTGACGCGTTTTAAAGTGATCTTCTATTGTACTGTGAATGTATTCATAATTGTTCATCAAATTTCAAATACAAATCTCTTATTTCAAGAACTTCCCCTTCTTAAAATTTCGAAAAATATTCTGCTTTTACGGAAGTCTATACTGTGTATTGAAAGAAACAGAAAATACATGTGCAAGAAGAGCATTTATTTTTAGTATATACTGTATTTATTATTAATGAAGTGGTTTTAAATTAGAATCAGAAAATTCCTCTCAAAATTGGTCCTCGTTTAAAAAATAAAATAAAATCAGCACAAATTTTCCGGATGCAGTGAAATTGACTTCTTGACAATAAAATATATACATTATGACTCGTTTCAAATTGATTTCCTATCTTGCCGTGAATATATTAATAAATTTGTTAATATACTCATGTGGTTTTAAATGTGAATCAGAGACTTGCTCTGAAAATTATAGTCCTCGTTAAAAAAAATTAAAACCAGTCTAAATTTTCGGAAGCAGTAAAAACTAGACTTAGTGACCACAAAATACAAATTATGACGCTTTTTGAAGTGATCTCCTTTCTATTGTTCAGTGACTATTTTTTATTTATATATTCCTCGACTGTAAAATACAATCTATCCTTTCATTTATTAAGACTCGTCCCCTCAGATAAAAATAAATAAAAAATTGATTTTACTGAAGTGTATGCTGAAAAAAGAAAATACATGCGTATAAGAGGAGCATTTATTCATACATTTATTCATATTCACATCCTTATTAATTTGTATCACAGACTTGCTCTCAAAATTAATCCTCGTTAAAAAATAAATAGATAAAATTAGGACCAGCCTCAATTTTCCGGAAGCATCGAAAAATACACTTTGAGACCACAAAATATACATAATGACGCTTTTCGAAGTGATCTCCTATCGCGCAGTGAATATATTTACATATTTTATTTATTTCTTTATATTTTTACTGGGATATAACCGTGCGAACAGTTGGATTTAGATGGCTGGGAAAGAGACGAAATGATCGTCTGTCAGCAGAGGTATCACTCAGAAAAGCGAACACAATAAAATAATAAATTAATCATTTTTCTTCCCAACCCGCTCATTTTGAGATACAGTACTGAAAAAAAAAATGTTGCAGTCAGTGAAGAAAAATCCGTTGAATATCCGTTGAATATTCCGACATTGATTTTTTCTTCTTCTTTTTCTATTTGAAAATGAAAGAGGGAAAGAAAAAATGAGGTATTTCCCGTTATTGCTGTGTGCGATTTTCGTTTTGGCGAATTCTGTTTATTCGGCTCCCGGGAATAAATCACCCACTTCCGAAAATGTCAGCGATTCGACTTTGAAAGAAATTTCTGAGAAAAGGGACTCGGAAATAAAGGAAGCTGAAAATTCCACTAAGTCTCTTCTTCCTCATCATCAGGAAGATCCCAAGTTGTTGACAGAGAAGAATGGTGAGTGGATTTAAAAAAAATAGGAACGGAATAATAATTTATTTTCTCTGTGGAGTACGCACACTCATTCTTGAGATCCGTTTACAGCTACAGACGAGGGGTCAATTTTGTTTTTCCTATGAAAACAGCGCGAAGAAAAAAGAATCCCACGCTTCCCAACGGTTTCTGTATACCAGACTCAGCATTTTCTAGGGCTAGAATAATTAAGACATTCTGCCAGTATTGAAGTCTATATAAACTGATTCTGGAGGGATAAAATAAGTTAAGCTTGAATGCATTCAAACTATATTGTATTCAGAAAAATTTGCGCATTATTTGTTCAAAAATCAAATTTCATACCTCACAGGATAAAAAAGAAATTTGAAGTTCAGAAAAAAATTCTAAAACTAAAATGCTGGAGCTCAGACGTACTGTATATATGAATCAATAAAATCTCAACAAACTTCCAGGGACCTGAGAAAACAAATTTTAATTAAAACATAGTTCTAATGGGTTTCTTTGGTTCTTTGAGCATGTATGAAGGCAATTTTAAGAGAAACCACTATAAGTAATAATTAAGTGCTTTGAAGCACAGTGTATGGTTTTATTAGAGAGGAAAGAAAATTCAGAGCAAGCTGTACACCTTGCAGGTATAGTTTAGGATAATTAGGAGTGGTTGGTATTTGATTACAAGAGATTTTTTGGGTTGTCAGTAATGCTTAGAAGATTTCTAGAAAAATGAATACGAAAATAAGTATAACACAGCAATTGGCTGGTGCGCAAACCGGCCAGGGATTCTCTCCCAGAAAAGCGCAAACCCTTTGTTTTAGCAGATCAATAAACAGAACAGAATACAAAAATGCACAACAGTTTTTCCAAAGTAGAAATATACACAACAGTTCACTGATTTCCGCAGAAGTTAGACAGGTAAAAATTTTGGCAAAGTACGAGATTTCTTCGACACGACGCAATGCTTCAAGGTAAAAATTTGGACTGTGTGTGTCACACAAAATTCAGGGGTTTTTAAGCAAGAAAAAGGGGGGCGGGGCACAAGGTACCTGCAGGGAACCCCAGCAGCTGGGTGTTGCACATAGAAAAACACCAGCTGCTGGTATTTTTTCGAGAAGAGAATTTGAGATGTCTTTAAGAAGGATGTTTTCCCAAAAACCGGGTGTTTCTTGAATTTACTAAACTTTACAAGGTTTGCGCTTGGGTTTTTGTGACAGGGACAAATTGTTTTAAGATGGTGAAGGAATATGTGTTGAGATTGTAAAAAATTTTAGTTCTTCACAGACGACAAGTTTTGAAGGATTATACGACCAGCAGCTGGGGCAGCCTGGTCTCAGGTTTGATATTTGATAGTGTTTTGAAAGTTGGGGGTCACTCAACCCTCGACTGAAGTCAGTTGCCCAGATATGGGAAGTTGTTATTTTAGTTTATAGCCCTGTGACAGGGATTGCTTGCAGCTGCAGGCGAGTCGTGAGGCAAACTAATTGCTGCCTTGCTAAATTGTAGAATTTCCCTCAATTTTGCAGCTGTCGGCGCGTCCCGAGACGCATCGACTTCAAAACACCCTTGATTTCCTAAGTGTCTTCCTTTTCAGAAGAAAAATTTCCGCACACACAGCCGGTACCTTGCAATTTGACCTCTTGCAATTCAATAGTCAAACTCTCAGGAAAGTTGACTTACAATTCAACCTCTGCCCAAGAATTCAACTTGATTTGGCTATTTTTCCCTTTTTTGTTGACATTTTCCAATTTTATGAATTTTCTCACAATTTGACCCTAGTTTGGTGACAGATTAGGGTCAAATTGCAAAGTACCACCTGTACTTTCACAACAGATATGTGAAGAATTGTCATCATTTTCAACTTCTTTTGATGCACAAACAGAGAAAATTTAAGGCTAAAAAGTCTCTTATTGCAGATCTTCCCTCTTCTTGCATTTCCTACATTGTACTGATTTTTCTGAAATATAAGCAATAAAAAAGTTTGTAAAAAGATAATTTAAACATTAATGGTATGCTCTGTGAAAAATAGCCACATCCTTTCAAACTTACTTTTTACTCAAAAAACCAAACATCTCTAAATTCTAAAATAAACGTCAATCAATTTGTATTAGAGCTTCATATAGTTTCTGCTATGCTAAATTTTCTATACACCAACGCCAGAATTTATATTCTTTTAAGGTATTTCAATCATGCATGCAGGTTGGGTTTTCCAGTATTTTTCCAATGTATTTTCAGAATATTAGGAAAATCTGTGGAACATTAATGCATCATGAAATATCATAACTTCTTTTTGAGGGCCGCAAAGCAGCATTTACAACATTTCACTGTTTTTTCTTTTCAAAAAATTCTGAATACTTTTATAGTGTAAAAAACTAAAATCCAAGTGTCCTTTGACATTCAAAAATTTTTATAGAATTTTTCCGGGTTGCGTGCTGATTGAAACACAACTTCAAACCCTGGGAAATACCACATTTTCCCCATTTGTGCCAAAATATGAAGAAACAAATCCCCCAGGCAAGGGCACCATTAGCCTGGGGAAAGTTACTACTTACAAACTAAATTCTCTTCTCCTCAAATACTGAAACACTTTTCAACCACACCAGGAACCCCCAGCCTCAGAACCTGTGACACAGAGGCTACAATGGCAAGAAATTTAGGATTTCATAAGTAATATTACAAGTAATGAAACACGCAATCCACCAGGGAAAGCAGCAGGGGATTCTTGGTAGAATCCCAAAGAAAAATGAAGTTAATTTTTTCTACAAAAAAATGATTCAATTTTACAAGACAATTCAGAACAAAGCAAGGGCCAAATGCAAAATCAGGCAGACTGAGAAGGAGGTCAGAACAATTGCGCAATTGCAGGAAATTCCATGGAGGGTTTTTGTTGTTACTTACATAATACTATAAATATCATGCTCTTAATCAAGGGGAGGTGACATCTGTCCCTTACAGAACCCACTTGAACCTTGCTGGAGCAACAGCTTGCGCAGGGTTACACCCCTTGCATAGGGTAACAAGAAGAAAAACTGTGATGTACAAATGTGTACCAAGTAACTCAGGATCCATTCAAATGTCCATATTCAACCCATGAAAAAGTTAAATTTCCAAATGTTACAATATGCCATAAATATATGCCTGAATATATTTGGATAGCCAGCAGATTACATTTGCATTTAGGAACAATTGCATATTATGACCTCCTGTAATTAGGAAAATTGTTGATATCACAAGATTTTCTGCCTCAAGAAAACAATCAGCCCCTTTGCCTCTGTTGGGTTAAGCACACTGCGCATTAATAATTAAATATAACATAAATTCCTGGAAATAATTTCCCCCTCCTCAAAACTGCAGTGCCAGGAACTTCCTGGTACAATAGCATCTGTTGGAAATTAAAAATCAGTAATAGGTTAAAATACGACAGGATTAGAGTGGTGCCAGGAAAACAGCAATACTTTGAGAAAGTTGGGGATTTGGTGGGACCAAACTCAACCTCAAGTTCCCATGAGATTTGGGATTCTTGGGGAAACTCAGGGACAAAAAATGCTATAGAGAGAAAATTGTTTAAATAGTGAATTGCTTCTGTATTGAATCATCAGTTGCTTCTGTGTTGTCTTACACAAAAGACTGCTTGTCAAAACTGCTGCTCAAATCAATCAAACTTAAATTCCAAAATATATCAACCTTACACTAGGGTTTCAAGCACCCCAGCCGCAACCCAGCTGATTGCGTCTAAACCTTTCATTTCATATCTGAGAAAAAAAAAGGGAAATTCAAGTCAAAATTCACAACTCAATTTACTGTTTCTAACAGCATCTTCAATGCTAGAATGTGTGACCTATTAAAGGTGTTTTCTGTAGAAACCAATGAAGGTTGAATATATCTCTGAGTATATAAGCAGCTAATCTAGATCAGATCATCATCAGTATAGTTGATTTGATTTGAGTTATTTGCTAACCAACTTATCCTACCTGCAAGAAGAGTTTGCTGCGTTGTTTATCAATTTATCTTTGTGAAATACATTTATCTTGTTAACTTAGGAAGTCCTACAAGGAATTCCCAGTCCTGTCCCAGACTGATTGTTGTGTTTTATTGCAACACTTGACATCAAATTATATTCTGGTGACATCTGTCCCCAATAGCCTCTTCAAACATCTTAATTGAAAACATTTTTTTTTCATTTTCTTCAATTTTGCAGCTTCTGCTGCGGATCCGAAAAAGGACACAATATCCCCCAGCAATAATGAAACATCCTCGGCCCAAAAAGAACCCGCGTCTTCTGCAAAAAGGCAGCTTACCGTTGAAGAACTCAAGTCTTACATAGAATATTACTCGGAAGAGCTGCGACGCAGATCAAACCTCAAAGCTTTAATCGCCTGGCAATTCGCCACCAACATCACGGAAGAAAACTCGAAAGCAAAAGTAAGCACTTTCTTCATGTTTAAAAAAAATTTATTTCGAAAATAATGAATGGAATTTTGACGACTGAACCTGGTTTAACCCTGAAAGGTTGAAGGATCGTTGGAAATGTCTACTTGGAAGCGAAACGAGTGGCTTCACAACATCTCGCAGTTCGACTTGTCAGTGTTGGAATCTCCTCATTACCAGAACCTGAAAAGGCTCTTTGATCAGGTCAAAGTCCTCGGGACTGATGCTCTTGACGGGGAAAAAATATCCAAGGTGAAAAGAATCATTCTCTAGTAGAATACTGTACCTAAAACGTAGCCAAAAATTATGAGAAAGTTGGATTTCCTTTTTTTTTGTTAATCTTTTTTTTTTAAATTTTTTTTTCCCACAGCGAACCCAGTTGATCAATGAAATGTCATCAACCTACAGTTCAGCCAAAATCTGCCCTTTCCAGAATCCAGACTGTGACTTGGAAAAGGATCAAACATGGTCACTGGAACCTGGTTTGTATTTACTTCATGATGCCACCGGTTTCTTGTTGCTACAAAATTAGGAGCCAGTTGAAAATTAAAAAATCTATGTTTACAAAAGTCTTCTTTCTAAAAAAAAACTAAAATGCCCATTTTCTCCCCAGTTTTCTGTCTTCTCATTTGGCTATGGAGATGAAAATTGCTTCTATAGCCAACTGAATGAGTGTTTCCAACTTTTAAAAAAATCCTATATTTTCAAAAGTTTTTGTTTGAAAAAAAAACTAGAATACCACCCTTTCCCACTTTCATATCCCCACATCTGTTGTTTTTGCAGATGGAATATTCTCTAGCCAACTAGATGAGTGTTTCCAATTAATGTATGTCCACATCTAAAAAAATGTCTTTCAGAAAAAGGTACTTTCCTGTTATCTCAGTACCTACCTTTCTCTTTTCTCTGTACCTTCCCTCTGACCAATTTAACCTGACCTAACCTAACTTCACGTAACCGCCTCCCAAAATCAGTTTCTGCTTTCTTTGGGTTTCTGCTGAAACTGATTTTGGGAGGCAGTTAGGTTAGGTCAGGTAATGTTAGTTAAAAGATATTTGTAACTAANTAGGTCAGGTAATGTTAGTTAAAAGATATTTGTAACTAACATAACCTAACCTAACCTAACTTTACCTAACTGCCTCCCAAAATCAGTTTCATCAGAATGCGGAAAAATAACATTCACAGTTTCTGGTAGGTCATTGTGATTATGAACGGATCCTAAAGATTTGTCTGGATGGTAGTGTGGTCTAGGAATGAGGTACTGAGATAACAGGAAAGTACCCAGAAAAATTTAGATACCATTTTTTCTTCAGTTTTCTAACTTCTTAGTTGTTTATGCATATGCAGAAGTCTTCAAGTATCTGAATGAGTGCTTCCAATTCTAAAAAAAACTATGTTTGCGAGAGTCTTCTTTCTGCAAAAATGGTATCTATCATTGTACTGTATTATAAATTTTGAAACACAATATTTATTCAAGTGAAATGGACCTTTGTGTGAGAAATCAGCCTTCATTTTTGATCTGAAAAAGTAGGGGCTCAACCCTGCTTTAAATATTTACAGTAAGAAATAGGTAACATGAGTTTGGATATGGAAACAATAAGGGGAGTCAAGGTGTACATAATAAACCTTTTTGCAGTTTGAGTTTCACAACAGATAACATCCTGAATATACATACCTAAATGAAAGGAGAATTCAGCTGTATTTTATTTGCTTCCCTACATGATTCATCTTTAAGGTATTTCAAGAAAGAGAATACACACACAAGACTTTTGGAAAATTTGTAGGAATAATTTGTACCCAAGTGCCTTGGAAAATTTAGTGAATATTTAATCAGCTTTTAGTTCTACAGTATTAAAATCTGGTTTTAACAAGGCTCCTCTTCAAATATTTCTTGGTTTCAAACTTTTTCCAAATTCTAGATGTATGCAACATTGTTCCTATTTGTTAATCCTCTCAGTTATTCATGCACCTGCAAAATTCTCTCGCCAATTGAATGAGAGTTCCTATATGTAACACATAGCTGAACATTGTTTTAATCCAGACTTTTTTGCATTTTTTGTTGGCAGATATTTCAAATGTCTTCCTTGAAGCGCCAAAGAAGGAGAATTATGACCTGTTGACTTATGTTTGGAGAAAGTGGAGTGATGCCACTGGGAAAAATTACAGGAACAAGTTTGTAGAATACATCAGCCTGACTAATGAAGCAGCAAAGGCCAACAGTGAGTATTTCACAGAAAAATAATATGGTCTTCTTTAACTTTTTTGTTTGTTGAATCAAACATACTTTTTTTTAGATCTTCTGTGAAATTGGATGAGATAAAAAACATTTGGCATGCATAAAATGTAAAGAAAAGCTGTTCTTCTGATTCCTGTTTTCCCCAGAAAATCCTGACATACAAAATGGAGCTTCACTGTGGCTGCAAGCGTATGAATCGAAAAACATAAGACAAAACCTGGCCAAGATGTACGAAGAATTGAAGCCCTTTTACTATGAATTGCACGCATTTGTACGTTACAAATTGCGCAAAGTTTATGGCGAAGACAAGTTTGACAGCGATGGTCCCATTCCAGCACACATCCTGGGTAATTTCCCTCATCTAATGAAAACAAATTTACTTCTCTCATGGGATTTACGGAATTGCAATTTTTTTGCGCGCAATTTTTCAGGAAATATGTGGGCTCAGAGTTGGGAGGCGATTTTCCCCGCAGTGTCTGAATTCAAAACAAAAAACATGGATGTTACCGATGAGATGAAGAAGGTGAATTTTTCAGTCCATGGCAGAATAAAAACTGCGTGTCAATCTTTTGGTGGATATAAAAAAATACAAATAGTTGGAGGTATACCTTACCATAAAATATTTCAGTTTTAAATGTTCAAAAATTTATACATACTGTATTAGAAAAATGGGTATTCATTTTTCTTGACAGTATTTAACAATTTCATTGTTGATGAAAATCGCATCAGTTTTTGGCTTGAAAAAATTTATAGTATGCTATATAGAATGTGAAGTAAGGCTGAATAGAAAGTTGAAGTCAATTGCATTACATTTGTTTTTGTGATTGAAGTGGGGGGATGGACTCTCTGTGCAATGATCTTGTCTACAAAGATTTTCTCTGTACAGCGATTTTTTTTTCAACCCAATAATCTTCTTTCACTATGCTGCAAGAGTTCTACACAACAAAATTCTCTCTACAAGGATACTTCTGGTCTCTTGCATTTTTTTTGTAAAGAGATTCTGTCTGTGCTCATATAACACTTCAAATATTTCAGATAAAAATGTAAATCACAGAGGCAGGTGAAATTCAACATTACAATTTTGAACTACACAGTACTGTATACATTTAGATGTTAAATTGCCAATATCTCTGATATGAAAAACAATCTTTAAAAATTTGGATATTCCACAGATATTTTATTGATAATGTTTAGCTAAAATCCATGGTGTGCTAAAGGGTTTCTGGAACTTGATATAGTACTATATTCAAAAAATATAGAACATCCTACCTTTCACAGCAAGGATATGATGCCAGGAAGATGTTTGAATTGGCAGACAAATTTTTCAAAGACCTGGGCTTGGAGAGTGTCAATGAAGGTGCAAAAGATTTCTACAATCTCTCCATGATTGAAAAGCCAGAGGGGAGAAAAGTTGTGTGTCATGCATCTGCTTGGGATTTCAGTGCATCCAATCAACTCCCAGGAGACTTCAGGTATATGTTCTCATACTTTTAATTAGTGTTTCCAAATTCAGCGCTATATAGAAACTACATTTAAAAAACTCTTTTGAGCACAAAGAATTGTTTTCCTTCAGTTTGAAATGCATTCTTCCAAGTTCTAAAAGTTGGACACTTATGAGAGGGATTTTTCAATATTGAGAAGGAATATTTTATCTTGCAGGATAAAAATGTGTACTGATGTGACCATGAATGATTTCATCACTGTTCACCACGAACTTGGACATATTCAATATTATATGCAATATGTTGATCAAAACCCGCTGTTCAGAGAAGGTGCCAACCCTGGTAAGCTATTTATCATATATGTATGAGTATTTTCTGTTTCTAATTTTCAAATGTACACAAAATGGTCTTGAACAACAAATATTTGAAAAAGTTTAGGGAACAAACCTTGGCTTGGTGGCAATTTTGTCTCATTTTGTCAAAAAGAATGGAATTCAAGTCAGCTGAAGAGAGATTTGTGCAAAAGAGGGCAACAACTGTGGGCTAGTCTAAATTTTTAAATATATGACCAATTGTGGATGCAGCAGGGAGTCCAGAATAAAATTGTAATTTTAGGAAATTTTAATCTCCGCATATATCTACTATTCCCTCCATTTAACTTTACTACTGTACTTGTTTTTGTTTTGTTTATTCAACTTTTCAACCCTTCTTTTTCTGTCAGTGAAGGGACTAATCTATGGATTTTGCATAGTTTATAATGAGAAGTACTTCTCATTATATATAGCGTCACTTTTGTACACATACAAATATGTGGGTGTTGGACTCTTAATTGGACGCGTCCGTTCAACGTCCTTTTCAGACCAGCCCCAAATTTTTGCACTAGGTTTTCCTGGGGTTTCAACTCATGCTGTCAACTGCACTTTAATAGTTTAATCAATCACATGGATAAGGTTTGTTTGAGCCCCCAATGTACCCAAAGGTTACAAAAACAGTATGCAGTATAATCTCATTTACAACAAAGTTTTGGGGACTTCAGAAAAGTTTGCTCAACTGAATAATTTGTTATAAGGAGATTTTAAAAGACAACAACAAGAAAATTTCCACATCAAACCCACCTTTGATCATGTTGATCTTGCTTTTCTGGAATTCTCTAATTTTTTATTTCTTTGACAGAGTAAGTTTTCTGATGAAAATTAGCTTCAATAGTGTTTTCCAATATTTACACCAATCTCTTCATTCTGGAAGGATTTTTTGTGGAAGAAAATTATTGGAAGCATGTATGTCATTGATTATAGCTTCCATTAATGCTACAAGAACCAGTCAGTCACTTTCAGGATCAAAAATTTCAGATTGTATGTGCCTTTAGTCAGAAAATTCCTGCCTGAAGAATCTGTCAAACACTCCTCAAACAAGTTTGTTAAGCTAAACTTATTGGGAAGTTTGTTTTAACAAGATTGCTTTAAAATCTACTCCATGGGCTTTTTTGCCAAGAGTTCAGAAAAATTGTTCTGAATAACTTTGTTGTAACAGTAATTGTTGTGAGCATATTCTACTGCTGTGCATATAACACAAATTTGTTTCCTTATATGTTCTTTTTCCAAGGTTTCCATGAGGCAATTGGAGATACATTGGCTCTCTCAGTGTCTACTCCAGGACATCTGCAAGCAATTGGTCTGCTGGACAAAGACTTCAAGCTGGATGATGATGCAGATCTTTCCTATCTACTCAGAGTAGCCCTGGACAAGGTTTCCTTCCTACCTTTTGGCTACCTGATTGACTTGTATCGCTGGAAGCTTTTTGAAGGAGAGATAGAGTTTAAGGACCTGAATGATGAGTGGTGGTTGCTAAGGTAAAGCAAAGGCCACATTTTATCCCACAGTTGAACCTCCTCAGCAAGTCAAAAATGTGCCCAACTCAAATTGAATGCTTCTGAAACTCAATAACTCAAAACATTTTGACTATAACCTATATATTATAGTCAGATTTCTTATTTCACATTTGCCTAAACTTGAAAACAATTTAGAAAACCTGATCCAGAACATATCCAAATTGTTGACTATGGTTTTCATGATGGATTTGCCAACTTCATGCAGGTTGAACATCTAAAAATGATAATCCTTTATTAATAGCTACACCAGAAAGTCATTTTAATTGATCAAATTACACACACAAGCCGTATTCGGCTATAGTCAAAAAAATCCTGAGGAAGATGGTTTTGGTTTTCCATCAAATTCAACTTAGAGAGCTTCAACTGTAATTCAACTTGTGTAAAACACTTTCTGAGCATTAAGCCAACTGATTTGAGCAAATGAAGTGTCTTGTCTGCCACCAAA